ATATTAATATTTTTAATATTTTCTGATTTTTTATTTTTTTCACAAAATAAAACATTAATGTTAGTATTATTTATTACATTTTATATATTTTCTCCATTAGTGTTAAATTAATCATTGCTTATATTTATCTAATCAATATAATAAAGTAGTGCAAGATTGTCTCTTTTTGCATTTTGGTTTTCCAATAAATTAATACTTTTGTTTATAAAATTCAATAGAATGTACTAACTAGAAGGGAAGAAATGGTACCGCAAAATAAGACCAATTAATAGTGGCGATTTGAAGTATGAAATTATATTTTCTGGTGTAACTTTAATGATCATATTCTGGATTGATTATTATAATTTGATTAAATTTTAGAAATATGTATCTATTTTGTGTTAATTTCTTCAAATACCCTAATAAAAAAAATCAAGAGTGTTGTTTATTGATGTTCGTAAAATATGTATGATTGGTTTTTTAATTTGAGTAATTTAAAAAAAATATAAAATAACAAGTAAATGTAAATAATGTATATATATATATATATATATGGCACTGACTTCATAGTACCAATTTTATTTTCTTGTACTCATTTTGTCTTTGTACTCGTTTTGGACTTATTTATTTTATATAACTCTTTTATTGGACATATTTATATTATATAACTATTTTATTTTCTAGAACTCCTTTTGTTTTTGTCTACATGTCTTTAAGATTGTACACTATTGTATTGTGTTGATTAGATAAATATAAGCAATGATTAATTTAACACTAATGGAGAAAATATATAATATGTAATAAATAATACTAATATTAATGTTTTATTTTGCAAACAAAATTAAAAATCAGAAAATATTAAAAATATTAATATAAATATTTTTTAAAATATTAAAATATTATAATATTAAAATATTAATATTTAAAGAGAAGACGCCACCACCGGTGGCATCTCCTACGGAGACGCCGTTGGAGCTGACGTCTCCTGCCGGTGCCGCCGTGGTGGGTGGCGTTCAACCCCAATTCGGTTACACCCCCAAAACAACTCCAATTTAAAAACTACGGTTTAAAACAACACCAAAAAAAAATTGCCCCAAACAAAGTTATTATTATTATTATTATTATTATTTTATTTTATTTTATTTTATTTTATTTTTGTCTGTTAAAAAGAAGCTAATGGAATGCAAAGTTATTTTTATATTTAGTTCAAATTACTGTTTAGTGCGGTGGTCAATCTCGCCTCAAAATACTTTTGCGTTTTCAGCAGTCTACATAGGGGCACTTCAGTCCTATCGCATCTGAAAGTATTTTACAGAAAGTATTTTCTCTTAGTTAAAAAGAAATGCCTAAACCTCCCTTGTTAGATGTTAAATGTGAAATATCACTTTTAACATCATTTTTACATTTTTTTGAACTAAATTTAAAGGGTGGTGAATAATATATTATATGAGATGTCTAGTGGAGTTTAAAGTATTATATTAGTACATTAAAAATTTGATAATAACACAAGACACATTATGGATAACACTAGAACTATTTTTGCAGATAAAGTATAATTTCACATAACATGTACACAAGTCTAATTTGTGTCGTATTGTCTCACATACACCAATGATAGAGAAACTATGAATTGTAAAATACCTTCATATTTAAATATTTAAATAGAACAATTAAAAAAAAAAGTCAGAAACAAACCAAGAAACAACATGAAAGAAGAAACAAAAGGGCATATTCAATTGCTTGAGCAAAACCTAGAAACATTAATCAACAATGATAACTAGCAGGGAAACATGTCTGGTTCAACACAAACATAGAGGGAAACATGAGATGAAAAAGAAATTACAGATACACATTATTTAGATTGGGGGGAAACCCCAATTGATTGTTCGAAAATACGAAATATAATCAAGAACATGAGCATAAATTTCAAAAACCACCACGAAGACGGAGGACAAGGTGAAGGGTGGACTCCTTCTGGATATTGTAGTCGGCCAGGGTCCTTCCATCCTCCAACTGCTTACCGGCAAAGATCAACCTCTGCTGGTCTGGTGGGATACCCTCCTTATCCTGAATCTTGGCCTTCACATTATCGATGGTGTCGGAGCTCTCCACCTCCAGGGTGATGGTCTTGCCAGTCAAGGTCTTGACAAAGATTTGCATACCACCCCTCAACCTCAGAACCAAGTGCAGAGTCGACTCCTTCTGGATGTTGTAGTCAGCCAATGTGCGGCCGTCTTCGAGCTGCTTTCCGGCGAAAATCAGCCTCTGCTGGTCTGGTGGGATCCCCTCCTTATCCTGGATCTTAGCCTTGACATTGTCGATGGTGTCAGAGCTCTCGACCTCAAGGGTGATGGTCTTCCCGGTCAAGGTCTTGACAAAGATCTGCATACCACCACGCAGACGAAGGACCAAGTGAAGGGTAGACTCCTTCTGAATGTTGTAGTCGGCCAAAGTGCGGCCGTCCTCAAGCTGCTTTCCGGCGAAGATCAGTCTCTGCTGGTCTGGGGGAATACCCTCCTTGTCCTGGATCTTGGCCTTGACATTGTCAATGGTGTCGGAGCTCTCCACCTCGAGGGTAATGGTCTTTCCAGTCAAGGTCTTGACGAAAATCTGCATACCACCACGGAGACGGAGGACCAAATGCAGTGTAGACTCCTTCTGGATGTTATAATCTGCCAAAGTACGTCCATCCTCGAGCTGCTTTCCAGCAAAGATCAATCTTTGCTGATCCGGGGGAATGCCTTCCTTGTCCTGGATCTTGGCCTTGACATTGTCAATGGTGTCGGAGCTCTCCACTTCGAGGGTGATGGTCTTCCCAGTAAGGGTCTTGACGAAAATCTGCATACCACCACGAAGTCTCAGAACCAAGTGCAAAGTCGACTCCTTCTGGATGTTGTAGTCGGCCAAAGTGCGGCCATCCTCAAGCTGCTTCCCGGCAAAGATGAGTCTCTGCTGGTCCGGAGGAATACCCTCCTTGTCCTGGATCTTAGCCTTAACATTGTCAATTGTATCTGAGCTCTCCACCTCAAGGGTGATGGTCTTTCCGGTGAGGGTCTTGACGAAGATCTGCATACCACCACGAAGACGGAGGACCAAGTGGAGGGTAGACTCCTTCTGGATGTTGTAGTCAGCCAAAGTGCGGCCGTCCTCCAGCTGCTTTCCAGCGAAGATAAGTCTCTGCTGGTCCGGTGGGATCCCCTCCTTGTCCTGGATCTTGGCCTTCACGTTGTCGATGGTGTCGGAACTCTCGACCTCAAGGGTTATGGTCTTTCCGGTGAGGGTCTTGACAAAGATCTGCATACCACCACGGAGACGGAGGACCAAGTGGAGGGTAGACTCCTTCTGGATGTTGTAGTCGGCCAAAGTGCGGCCATCCTCCAGCTGCTTTCCGGCAAATATAAGTCTCTGCTGGTCCGGGGGAATGCCCTCCTTGTCCTGAATTTTGGCCTTGACATTATCGATGGTGTCGGAGCTTTCCACCTCAAGGGTAATCGTCTTTCCGGTGAGGGTCTTCACAAAGATCTGCATACCACCACGGAGTCGGAGGACCAAGTGGAGAGTCGACTCCTTCTGGATGTTGTAGTCGGCGAGTGTGCGACCGTCTTCAAGCTGTTTGCCGGCAAAGATGAGCCTCTGCTGGTCCGGAGGGATTCCCTCCTTGTCCTGGATCTTAGCCTTGACGTTGTCGATGGTGTCTGAGCTTTCCACCTCGAGGGTGATGGTTTTGCCGGTGAGAGTTTTCACAAAGATCTGCATCTGTACATCAATACAAAATTATCAGAAAAAGATGCTTTTATCCCAAAAAAATTGAATTCTATCTAAAATCTCACAAACACATGATAATTCATGAAGAAAACAAATAGTAGTCGATCAAATAGAAATAATCATAAACACGACATTCTACAAAACTAATGAAGCAGACAGATCCCTCAACACAATTCAGGAAAAAGCAGTCAGCAATCAAACAAATTTACAATAGAGACAACAAAACCTAAATCGATGAATCAATATCCAGATTCTAACTGATAACGAAAACCTAGATCCCAAAATCGAATAGGTAAATCGATTGATTAAGCAGTCAACAATCAAACAAATTCACCACGATTCCATCGAGAATAAACGAAACTTAAATCAATAAACCAGATTCGAACTGACAAAAGAAAACCTAGATATAAATCAAGTTCCAGCTTTTAACTGAAAATAAAACCTAGATCTCCAAATCGGACATATCAAAATTAATTCACCAGAAAAAAAAAAAAAAGTAAAATTGATCCAAAAATTCAACAACATGATCGACGAATTACCACACAATCAACAGATCGGAAGAAGAAGAACAAAAAACAGAAATCGGCGTATCAAAATTACCTTGAAAATAGGAGTAGAGAGATTTTTAAGAGGAAATAAGATCGGATGATTGTATCTGATTAAGAATGAAAGGTAAAGGCGAGAAACGCCTCTTTATATAGGCGCGATGCCGACCTTAGGAGATACCGCCTTGGGAGGTATAGCGAATCATATCGTGCCACGTGTCAGGTGGACTTGTAGTGCAACAATGCTATACGGCAACGGCAAGTTGTCCTTTCCTTTTGAGTGGTAGAGAATAATAATTCTTTCCTTTTTATTTTTTTAAGGCAAGTAGATTATTATAATAATAATAATAATAATAATAATAATAATAATAATAATAATAATAATAATAATAATAATTATAATTATAATAATAATTATTATAATTATAATAATAATAATGGCAAATTGCACTTCACACCCTAAAAAAATGCCTCTTTTGCACTTTCCGCCATCAAAATACAAAAACTAGAGTGTCCAATTTCGAAATATACAACTCGGTGCACTTTTCTCCAAATTGTGTATTTCCGGTTTAATTCTTGTTGGATTTGAGTAAGTTTGGAAAGGTGATTTCATCTTTTAAGGCTTTAAATGTCATTTAACATTTTTTCACCATACATTACAATGCTTATGAAGAATAAAGAACAAATTTTGTCGAATTTTGAAGAAAATTTCGTCTAATTTGGAAGCAAATTTTCATTAATTTGGGACGAGAATTTTGTTAATTTGGGACCCTAAGTAACTCTAAAAGGATGATTTTCAAGCGGAAAAAGTAAAATGACGTATATACTCGTAATTCACCAAGAATGAGATCCGAAATACACATTTGGGGCAAAGTGCATCGAGTTGTATATCTTGAAAGGGAGCAGTCTCATTTTTGTATTTTGAGGGGGTAAAGTGCAAAAAAGGCATTTTTTAAGGGGGTGAAGTGCAATTTGACCTAATAATAATTAGAAACCTTAATTAATGTCTGATTTTATATAGAGAATCTCAAAAAAATAATTTTTAATAATTCAAATTAAACAGAACCCACGATAATATCCACATTAAATATTCTAGAAGGCAATCAAATTTGTGGAGTAACTTGTATCAAACGTTTTGATATATGATTTAATTTTGGTAATTATAAATTTTGGAAAAAAAACTAAAGAAAATAGGTAATTGATATAACATAGGTCAACTGTCCGAATGAGTCTAACTAAGAGCCTGTTTGGCTAAGCTTATAAGCTCCTAAAAACATCTTATAAGATGTTTAGGAGCTTATAAGTTGTTAAAAGGTGTTTGGTAAAAAAATTGTAAAAGATCTTATTTTTTCCAAAAATAAGCTGTTAGGGAGCTTATAAGATGTTTTTAAAAAAATACCTCTACCCCACCTTTTTTTCTTTAAGATCTTATTTCTTCTTTACTAAAACATTTAAAATACAAAATTACCCTCAAATACTTTATTATATTACATAATTACTAATAATATTTATATTTTATCAAAACAACGTATTCTTGTAATCAAGATTAATAATTAGTTAAATATAATTATCGTAATTATCATAATAATTGTAAAGAAAATTATTCTCTATTTATATTTTATATGTATATAAAAATACACGAATATTCTTATTATCTCCATAATAAATTATATTTCTTTCATCTAAAAAAAATTATATTTCTTTTACAATTTTTATTTTATATTATTATTATTATTATTTGAAAAAATAATTTGTAAATACTATAATAATATTTTAGGAACAAAAGTATTTGAGTCAAATAAGTTTAACAATTATACTGGCGTCATGTACTTTTTTGTCATTATAGCAATAAACAGACCTTTTATTTCCAAACACCTGAACAACTTATAAAAACAAAAAGTAACTTATAAGCTACATATCCAAACACCTTAAAAAATAATTTTTAAAATAAGATCTAACAGCTTATCAGCTCCTAAAACATCTTATCAGATGTAGGAGCTTATAAGATGTTTTAAATAAGCTTAGCCAAACGGGCTCTAAGAGGGTGTTTGGCTAAGCTTATTTTAAACAGCTGATAAGCTCTTACGTCTGATAAGATGTTTTAAGAGCTGATAAACTGTTACATCTTATTTTTAGGATTAATTTTTAGAGTGTTTGGATAAAGGGCTTATTTCCTATTTTTACTCATTAAAAGATCTTAAATAAAAAGGTGGGGTAGATGTACTTATTTAAAAAGATCTTATTTGCTCTCCAACAGCTTATTTTTAAAAAAATTAAGATCTTTTTCTAAAAATTTACCAAACACTTTGGAAGAGCTTATAAGCTCTAAAACATCTTATAAGCTCATTTTAACATCTTATAAGGTTCTAAATTGGATGAACAAAACAGTTATTTATTGAATTTAATTTTTTTTTTGTGTGTTTTTTATATTAAAGAAGATTTTGGTAATATATTTTAAAAATAACAAAAAGTCAATATATAATTTGTACTAAATTCATGGGAGAACAATATAATTTCCTAAATATTTGGTCAAGGGTAAACAAGTTCGTTTCTGAGAAATTGGGGGTACTAGGCCAGTTTTAAGATCTTGTAAAAATGGCCTCCTTATTTGTATTCTATAATGTAAACTAGACATGGCCACGGGCCGGGTTTGACCCGGAACCGGCGACTGCCCCCGTTGACCATGGACCCGGACCCGGACCCGAAAATGTATAGGTCGGTTTCGGGTCCCGATATTTTGGACCCGAGACCCGGCGGGTGGACCCGAGGACCCAACGGACGGGTATCCGTCGGGTCCACCTGAATAAATTTTTTTTTTTTTCAAATTTTGAAAATGCAACGGCCATAAAATGGACCCGAACCGGACCCGGTCCGAGAATTCAAAAAATGTTTTTTTTTTTTAAATTACAACGGCTAGAAACTTGGGTCCCCGGAACCGACACGGACCCGGAAGGACACGAGTGGACCCGACTCGGACCCGGAAGGACCCAAGTGAACCCGACCCGGACCCGGACCCGCCTCCACGGGGTTTGGTTTCGGGTCCCGAAAAAGTAAGACCCGGACCCGGACCCGACCCGGTCCGTGGCCATGTCTAATGTAAACATTAATTCATTCCACATGGAAAATAATTTTTTGATTAACAATTAATTTTTTTTTTAGAAAATATAACTAAATATTGATGAAGTTAAGTTAAATCAAAAGTTTACAGAGTTTACGGTAGAGCCCCAAAATTTTTTGAAAATAGTTATATAAATATTATTGAACAAGTAAGTATATAAAAGAAAATTGTTTAACTATAATAAAATAAAATATAGTATATTTCAATTTGCCGAAACTCTTTGAAGGTATAGAGACTCGTACGTTGATACAACAAACGCGTGGAAGTGGGTGTGGTCGATGAATTTGCCTAATAAGATCAAAATATTTGTGTGGAGAGCATGTAAAATCTATTACCCACCCGAGCTAATT